TTATTTCGTTTCATTTGCGATTATTAAAAGGTTATCTTTCTCCATACTTTAGTTTTCATGTGTCGTTTTCTACAAGTTGGTGCAAGGTCCACTGAGATGGATAGTGTAAATGCTGTGAAGCGGCATTCCTTACTGTTGACAAGTTTCAGTAACTCGCCGTAAGTGAAAACTGATGGGAGTGGGTCCCAACTCGTAATAAGAGACATTTCTAAAGTCACATTCAAGTAAAAATAACAGCTATGTCTGCCCTCTCATGTTAAGCAGAATTTGGGATTTAGCTTGCTCGCTGATGACATTCTCTTGTGTATGTACCTAGAACCGTGTCAATACTAGCACGATGAACAGTTATCGGACAGCCTTAAATGCGGAGTTTCCAGTACCTGTTGGGTTGGGGTGCAGAGCTTACCTCGTTTTCTTTGGTTATTTTGTTTCCACTTGTTTTTCAGCCCAGTACAGCTATAGTTTCAACAAAGCTCCAAATATTATCTTGATCATGCTGTCCTTTATGTATTTATTTAGTTTCAGATACCTACGTGATTGGATGATTGAATCATGTTCTAAGATTAGCCAATTGTGGAGTATCTAAACATATACATTTGATTGCACGATCACTATACTTTAGCTCCCCCTCCGACTGCGCTGCACAATGTAGGCATATCACGCACAACCAAACGTGAGGTTTTGAACCTTGTTAGCCTTCCGATCATATCGCCAAGCTCCTTTTTTTTTGCTACGAACCACTTCAAGATTCGATTTCCTTTCGCATGGTTCGATCGTATCAGAGAAGCCTTGTCCGTAGAGGCACACCTTTTTCTGATTGTCGTTATGACCACTGCCATTCCGGGGACGAGAGAAATCTCCATACCTATTCGCATGCCCAGTGACTGACGTCTCGTCCATACTTGCTCGAAACACAATCTATGCCAAGTTTGCACATTCTAGCTAAGTAAGATTGTTGGCCTTTCGTAATCTGACTGTCAAGGTGTTCGAGGGTTTCTAACCAACAAACAATATCTAGCATTCAGTCACCGTTTCCCAATACTCCACCAAATTACCACTTAGACGACAGCTACTTCTTCCGAATGGCTCTAGCATGTCTACCTTGAGGTCCTTCAGTCGTACAACTAAACTATCTTGTGAGGGTCATCACCTCATGCAGCACATACGAACGAAAACTTCACCACATCGGATGCTGCTTTGATTTGGGAGGTCCGAGTAAGCAGGTGAAATAATCATCCAGTAGAAAGATCGGCAAATTAATCCATTAACACTGCTACCGCTAATCAGGTCTGCAATCACGAAATCTGTGGTTTGCAAGGTATCTGTGTATTTACTGACTGTCTCCTCTCAAATTTCTTGCCACTCTATCTATCTAATGTGCTCTCTATTGCTTTCTTGATGATGCTTGTTGAAATCTGTTTGGTGGTGAAAATGCAGGATTGATTTGTCCGCATTGTTATACATCACTAACTGAAGTCAAACTAATGTTGCTGAATAAACCCGAGAATCATACTCTATTACTGCTGATGACGACGATGGGTGGTGATATTTAAGAGAACTATTAGCTTATGGTGTTGTCTTGTTTATTTCTTTATTGTTTTCATGGCATGAGAAAATAAACTAATAAATAAAAAAAAGAAAACAGAAACAAATTGCTCACCTGATCTTAGTGCAATGTCGTTACATGTGGACAGTGATGGTGGACAGGTGGTGCTAGACAGGCTGGTTTTATTTTATTTTATTTTTTTCTATAAAGGTTTTGTTTTCTGTTCCAGTACAAAGTCACAAAGTCCAAACACGAAAGGACATTCAGCACGTCTAATTTTAGAACTATTCCTTGACTAGTTAAGGTGGACAATACATTTATTTGAATTGGTACACAATGCGATTGGTTCCTCCCCATATATATATATATATATACATATATTATTGGTCCTTTCTCTAGGTATATAAACTCAATCATTTATTTGTATTACATCACACATTCTCATTGTTTCATGAAATAAGAGTTATTTAAAGAATATTTCTATCAAATGATTAGAAATCTTTTTTTGATCAATATTAGCAGTTTTGGCTGAGTTGAACCTCCAACAGTCTTATTAGTTGAATTTAGAAACTGAGGTTTCAAAATCAATCTTAGTTGCCTGTAACTTGTGTGGTTAATTTATACTCGTACTGGAATACAAACACTTGGATTGAGTTGTGGGCTTTAGCAATAAGTAAAATGAATATATATATATATATATATATATAAACACATACACTTCAAAAGGATTTCTTATCATGAATGCAAAAGGTGGATCTTTTTTCTTTCTGAAAAATAAAAAAAGGTCTACTGTAGACATCATTTCCATTCAGCTGAAAATGTTACAGTAAATCAACAGTGTGTTGCATTATTTTTAGTTCATAAATGTCGTGCAATTTCTAAAGATTAATCTATTTTTGTTTGTATGAAATATGGTTGGCAACAAAATGAAACATTAAAATTTGGGTTGATTACATTCAAAAGCACATCTTACATAAAGTCCATTGATAACAAATATGAAGATTCAATATTGTTAAAATTTTAGTATAGAAAATTGTTAATGTTTTTGATGAATTTGATGTTTTAAGTTTTCATAACCTATACCTATTTTATTCACATTAATAGTATGTGTCAAATGAAATATTTATCTATATTACTCAAATATTTACTGAATCATTTGAGGCTGTTCAATAATTTTTTCTGTGGTAAGTGTATATCTTATAACCACATTAAACAAGTACCAGTTTAATTTACTAAACATGTATATTTAATGCATTACAAATCTTTCAATAATTATTGTATAAAACTGTTACAGTTCTTTGACCATTCATAAAAGATTCAAGAAATTGTAAATTCAACAAAGACTCCTTTAATTTTGAAGTAAATATGATTTTTTATTAATAAAAAATACTTTGTGTTTCCTCCTCTCTGAAAAGAAAGATCAAAATATTTGATAAATTTTTATTTTGTAAAAAATGCCACAAATTTTTATTACAATCATTTCTTAAAACTTATGAATTTATATTATTTGTTTTGTTTTTTTTTGTTTGTTTGTTTTTTTGTTTTTTTTAAAAAAATTCAATTCAACAATGATACTTCACAAGTTGCAAATTTTCTTACATGTTGAGACTTCTTACATGTTAACCATTGAGACTTATTAATATCCTTACATACAATCATCCATTCAAGCTTAATATATAAAATTGAGAAAATGATATCCTCATTGCTCTTTATCTCTAACACTTTAAGATGCTTAACAACTTCCCCTCTTCACCACCAATCTAATTTAAATATTAATTTGAAACAACATGCACAGATGTGAATATTGTTCAACTCTTTGAGACAAATGATCCTCGAATTTGTCGCCCCTTCGTCTCAACTATTGATTGAGATCCACTCCAAATCTAACCCACTTTTTACAATAGTCCATTTCGGCAAAGATATTAGACACCGAAGTTTGCACACCACAACGCCCCAACATAACTAATTAAAATCTGCGGTAGCTGGGTCATGGAATTACATCAGTTACATGAATGTGTTGATGAGATTCAAGAGGGTTCTGGTAATAACAAGAGTGATTGACGATCGAGTGGGTCCCCATCAGGATGACGACGAGGTTGTTTAAAGTGTAGAAAAAGACTCGGTTTTGTTTCTCGGTCTTCTCAGCAATTGTCTCAGTGATTAGTTGCCACGGTCCATGATTCCTCAACAGTAAGGAATCTAGTGGCTCTTCAACACATGAGCTCATTGGAAAGCCTGACAAGGTGATCAGGTCATGGGCGTGCTGTTATCAGGATATGTGAAGCTGGCCAAGTGCGTTAAATCTCCGAAGCTGAGAGCACAAGTCAATCCATGTCAAGCTTCAACATGCTAGTGGCGTTGCACGCCACTGCAGGCGAAGTCTCCTCCAGGTCCGTGCTGCAGCACTGTCGACTCGGTACGAGTATTAATGTTGCGCAGATGAAGCCATAGAATCAATTCGGAGCCCATGTCACCTGGTAAAATCCTTATTGAAATCCAACGAATTTCCTCAATCCAACAAATTTGGAAAAACAAGTCCAAATTAAGACAACAGCACAAACTGCTACGCGCTTCACATCCAATTAATAGAGCACGAATAAAAAAAAAATCATCCTCCACACACAAGCTTTATAATTAAATCGACTAGGACACTAAGAATGATCTGCATGCACTCGCTTCAGAACAGGACCAATAAGTTCAAAAGAATAAGCGAGACCTTCGACAGAACTACTCATGCACACCGCATTAACATCAAAATGAGCACATAATCATCAAAGTGACGAAAAGAGTATTCCGACAGCGTTCGCGGTGCCCGGTAAGGGGAGACGCCAAAGAAGAGAGGACGGAAAACGCCACAGCCGGGTCCAAGGAGGATTGACGAATCGGGGCCGGGGGCCCCTAAATTAAGCGGAACAGGGGCCGCCGTGTGGTGCAAAGTCCAAACCTCGGCAGAGCCAGCAGCGAACAAACGCACACGAACACAAGGGCGGACAGACGGGAGTGCTGCCCAGCTGCGCCGTGGCTGCCGTAGGCTGGACGTCGTATGTGAGCCGTTGCGGGGGTGGGATCGCCACCCGCAGTGTGGAGAGAGAGCCGCGAATGCTCGTCCACGGGATGCGTCAAGTGCCATCGAGAGCGTGCGCATGATTTTCCGATTGGGTGTCTCGCTTTTGCGGAGCGGAGAACGCATGTGAGGGCACGAACCAGGAGTGGGGCGGAGGGAAGGGAAGCGAAGGGCAGGGCAGGGAAGGGCGAGCGCGGAGGCACCATAATTGGGGAGGGGTATGAAGGAGATACGAGTGCGAGGGTGGTGCGGTGAGGAGCGTCTGTTGTCTGGCTGTCTGTCTGTCTGGGGCCACTGTCCTCTTCGGCTCTGACACACTCGCAGGCAGCCTGGCGGACTGGCAGGCATTGTTGCTGGCAGGGCGAGGGGGGAGGAGCGAGAAGGGGGGGGGGGGGTGGAGGTGCTCATTCTGGTGCAGGCCCAGCTCATGGGCCCTGGCGCCTCTCCCCTGGAGACAAACCCTGCGTACGGACTCTTAGGGAGATAATTTATTAGAGCGAAGGCTCCTCGTTGGTTTTTGTTGCATGCTCTTCGGGCTCCGGTGGGTTTTGGCAGGTGCATGATTGCGCTCCTTTTTATTCATTTGGGGCCCTCCTGCTCTCTACTCCCCCTGCTGGGCTCTGGGCTACGGTACATTGGTGCTGCGACGATTAGCTTCTTTTATAGCCTGTGTGATACATTATTAGTTGGTCGAGCTTTAGGCTCCGGTTGGCCGCTGTGTTGAGTTTGGGTGATCGCGGGGTGAATGCGGGGTTTTTCATGGAATGTGTCGCGTACGCTCGGCCGGAGTGCCCCACCATAGCGAGCAGATTTTTTGATTCCTTGAGTTAGGCCCAGCGGGGCGGGACTTTAAGGTTCGGTGTAGCTTAGCCCGGCTTAGCTCAGGTGAGTGATGGAGTGATACTGTTGGGTTCAATTATGCAGCAGCGGGGTCTGGGGTGGGAGGCATAGCCTGCGGTGGCGGAGGAGGTGTCCGTCCGGATGGCTGGATGATAAGAAAGGCGCTTGTGGCGGAGGTGGGGGCGTTGCGCCAGGACTGAGAAAGCCCAGAGAGGGCGAGGAGGAGGAAGAGCAGCAGCAGGAGGAGGAGGGATACATTTGCAAGGTTTGTAAGGGATCAGAGAGTGTGGGGCATGCGGCTGGATTGCCGAGTTGATCCGCCTATGCCATGCCGGATTCTCAGCATTCCCAGGTTTGTTCGCGTTCGATTTTTATGGTTTATTCTGCAATGTTGGCACTGCAGGTTGTGGTGAGCGGTGGCGAGGTTACAGTGGGGGGAGGGCCCGGAGCTTGCATATGAGCGGGCGGGCACATTGTTGTAGCACTGGAGCTTTTAGGAATGGAGTCCCGAGCGTGTGCAGTGCGTCGCGCAGTGAGTTAGTTGGCCGTGTCGAGAGCGAGAGGTTTTAGAAGCTGCTCCAGGGTCGGATGTGCGCACCGGCTCTGGTGCTTTGAAACCCGTGGCGTGTCTATTTTGGTTTTGTTGTCCGTCCTCAAGGCCGGAGGTAGTGGTGTCTCCGGAGAGGGCTGTGAAGTTGTTGACATTTCTTCGACGTGATCGGCACTGGATGGGTTAGTGTCTTGGCGCTTCAGTAGCAAATATCAGTGCCTACGTATGTAATCGCGTGCTTTGCCTGCGGTAGTCTCTGTGTCTAAATGCGTGTTTCTTCTTCTGTCTACCGCGTTACGGCAGGAAGTGTGGTCCTGGAATGGATCCGAAGAGGGGTTTGGTGGAGGTTGAAACCCGAGCCGTGCCGTGGTTGCTGGAATGGCGGATGTTGGCTCACTATGGGGTGGGGTGCGGGCGTGCAATTGGGATTTAGAGGATGTGGGCGTGTTGGATTTAGAGCATTGCGGTGGCCGTATTGTCGAGTGAGCATTTTACAAAGCGTCTCAGGATTGGCAGAGTTGGGTCGATCACTAGGACGGTTTTTCTGTTTTCCACCCTAGTCTGCGATCTGCTTTGGTGAGGTTTGTATACGATAGATGGCGTGGATCTCACACGGCGAGTAGAATAAACCGGTGTCGGTTCATTAGCCACCACCTCTCTTTTCCGATTGGACTGAGAAGGTAGCAGTTGATGGCCAGGTCGATGAGGCTTCGCGACTGCGTCTTTTTGTTCTCATACTTCAATGCAGTGACTTGGTCGTCTGATGGCAGCCTTCGTGTTTCGATGCTTGCGTGCGTGCGTGGTGATTGATGGAGTACTGGTTTGAGCGCAGGACATGACAGAGGATGAGCAGCGGCGTGAACAGGCGGGTGAAGCAGCCGAGACGCCTGAAGCTCCTCAGCCGTCTGAGCTAATGTCTGATCCCCAGACAGTAGCATCAGCCATGGAGCTACCAGAGACTCCCGAGCCACTTGCAGCAGATTCGCTTCCGAGGTACGTGTCGTGCAGTTGCAGTTCCAGTGTGGGTCGAAGATGGTAACTGTTCGCGGAGTCGGTTTTTGTGCGTGAAATCCAAAACCTCGGTGAACCTGGCGCCGAAGGCGTGTAACGAAAGTTGTACATGTACAGCTCGGTCGGTGGTCGAGTTTTTGGATTTGTGTGACGCGTGGCTCAATCGATTTGAAGGAGTGAACCATTTCACGTATTCTGCAGGGAATGGAGTGGCGTCATAGAAATGGGTGATCCGGATTGTTCACCTTCGGAAGCTGTGGATCCCAATATTGTACAGACTCACAGTGGGGTGTCCGCGCATGAGGAGGAGGAGGAGGAGGAAGTGGTAGTGGTGGTCGATGGGGTGGCGTCGAAAGTGGCGAACTGCATTGAGCAGCTGCGATCAACGTCCACATCAGTAGAGGAGAAGGAGATGATTTCTAAGATTCTCTTCGAATTGGTAGATACGCAAGAGGATGCCAGAGCGGCAGTTGGTTCTCACCCGCAGGCCGTGCCTTCGCTGGTCGCGCTTCTTCGATCAGGATCCTTGGCTGCCAGAGTGAATGCTGCCGCAAACCTGGGGGTTTTGTGCAAGGAAGAGGACCTGCGCGTGAAAGTGCTGCTGGGCGGTTGCATTCCACCTCTGCTGGCACTGCTGAAGTCCAACTCTTCCGAGGCACAGACGGTGGCGGCTGATGCCCTGAACGCCGTGTCTCAGGGAGGTTCGAAGGATCACGTGGGATCTAAGATCTTTTCCACGGAGGGAGTGGTGGTGAGCTTGTGGGAGCAGCTGCAGCCGAGGCTCGCCCTGGATCCTTCCCTTCCGGGATTGCTGACCGGAGCCCTTCGCAACCTGTGCAGCAGCAGCGAAGGTTTCTGGCCTGCCACCCTGGACGCGGGAGGCGTTGGCATTCTGGTGAGGCTGCTGGCATCCGGACACCCGCAGGCAGAGAGAAATGCAGCCTCCCTGCTGGCGAGTTTGATGACAGCAGTCGAGGAAAGCGGTGAGCTGGTGCTGCACGCCGGGGCCATGGGGCCACTTCTGCAGCTGTTGAGCAATGACGACGTTTCGGTGCGAGCTGAAGCGGCTGGTGCTCTGCGGGCTCTGTCAGCTCAGAACTGGGAGTCCAGGCACGCCATAAAAGGTGCCGGTGGGATGGAGAAGTTGATCAGTGCCACGGTTGGTCCCTCCAAGGAGTCGGCGCAGGACAGGTTCACTCAAGCTTTGCAAGAGAACGCGCTTGGCGCCTCTGCCAACATATTAGGAGGCCTGCCTGCCCTGGTAGTGAACCTTGGGGAGATAATAGACAGCAAGGGGCAGTCGGGAGCAAAGATAGCCGATGCAATTGGAGCAATGGCGTATGCGCTGATGGTTTTAGACGATGGCGACGAGGCTGCGGGAGCCGTGGATCCGCTTCACGTGGAGGAGGTTCTGATGAAGCACCTTGGGCACCGGACGTCGGTGTTGATTCAGGAGCGCGTCGTGGAAGCTCTGGCGAGTCTGTATGGGAATGGGTACCTGGCACGGGGTGTAGAGCACGCGGAAGGGAAGAAGACGGTGGTGGGACTGATCATGATGACCAGTGGTGAGATGCAGGAGAGCCTGACGATGTCTCTGATGGACATCTGCTGCGGGCACAGAGATTTGTGGCAAGCGCTGCGGGGTCGGGAGGGCGTGCAGCTTCTGATTTCCCTGCTGGGGCAGCCTGCGGAGCAGCAGCAGGAACACGCAGCTGCGTTGCTGTCGATTTTGACGCAAGAGATAGATGAGAGCAAGTGGGCCATCACTGCAGCCGGGGGCATCCCGCCGTTGGTGCAGCTTCTGGAGTGTGGTTCGGAGAAGGCGAAAGAAGATTCGGCGAATGTGCTGGGCAACCTGTGCAACCACAGCGAGGATATTAGAGTGTGCGTGGAGACAGCAGAGGCCGTCCCCGCGCTTCTGGGGCTGCTGAAGCACGCTGGTTTCAAGGGGCAAGGAATTGCAGCGGCAGCACTGACACAGCTGGTGCGGGATTCGGATGCGAGTACGATCAGCCAGTTGACTGCGTTGCTGACCGGCGAGTTGCCAGTTTCGAAGGTCCACGTTCTGCACCTGGTGGGGTGCTTGCTTTCCGTGGCCTCCCAGGAGGATATATTCCAGGAGGGCGCTCCAGCGTACGAGGCCCTGGAGATTTTGATAGAGCTTCTGGCAAGCGGCAAAGACGAGACGCAGGAGCACTCGGCCTCTGTTCTGGCTGAGATCTTTGCCTTCAGGCCAGATGTGTGCGAGAGCCCGGACATTGTGAAGGCAATCGCTCCGTTGATCAGGCTTGTGAGTGAAGGGAGCGAGCAGATTGCGTTGCAGGCGGCGCGGGCGGTTGCCGCTCTGTTCGGGTGCATTCGCCAGAACCAGAAGGTTGCGGAGGCGGGCAAGGATGCTATATTGCCCTTGATCAATCTGGCGAGGTCGTCGAGCATCAGCGTGGCGGAAGTTGCGACGACGGCTGTGGCAAACCTTTTGTTGGACGTGGAGGTGGCCGAAAAGGCACCTGCGGAGGATATCATATTACCCCTCACGCGAGTGCTGCGGGAGGGCAGTTTAGCGGGCAAGGAGCATGCAGCTGGAGCAGTCGCTCGGTTGCTTCGGTCCAGACATGTGGACGACGTGCTGGTGGAAAGTGTGCATCAGTGTGGCACCGTGCTCGCATTGGTGTCTCTTCTTGCCGCTACGAACTCGGAAGAGAGTTCGACGTCTGAAGCACTTGAAGCCCTGGCGTCGTTGGCGAGGACGACCAGAAGAAGTGGTCCATTCACTCATCCGCCGTGGGCTGTATTGGCAGAAACCCCGTTCAGCATGAGTCCGCTGGTAACGCATCTTGCGGTGGGGGAGCCGACAGTGCAGGAGAAAGCGATTGAGGTGCTGTCAAGGCTATGTCGAGACCAGCCAGCGGTTTTGGGCGATCTGATTGCGGACAATCCAAAATGCATTGCAGCACTAGCGGATCGCATCATACAGTCGTCGAGCTTGGAAGTGAAGGTTGGAGGCACCGCGTTGTTGATCTGCGCTGCAAAGGAGCACCGGCTGGTGTCTATGGTAGCTCTTCGTGAAGCCGGGTTCTCTGTTGAGCTGATTCGGTCGTTGGTGGATATGATAAGCTTCAAGTCCGTGGAAGAGGCCGGAGATGATGCTGTCACCAGTGACACCGAGGAAGAAGTGATTTTTAGTGTGGACGAGAGTGGGGTAGCCAGAAGGAAAGAGAAAACGCAGGGTGGAGCGGACGCGGACACGTTTCTGGATTATGGGCCTGCTCAGATCTCGGGAGGCACAGCTGCTCTGTGGTTGCTGTGCGTGATTGCTTCGCATGATGGTTTGAGCAAGCTTGCGATCACGGATGCGAGTGCCATCGAAGTTGTGACGGAGAAGCTTGCGATATTTGCACCAAATGCTCGCGAGGTGAGAATAGACGCGTTTTCTGCAGAGGCGCATACGTTGAACGAGGGTGGGACGTAAGGTGGTTTGGGATGTGTGCGGCGGTTGTTAGGTCGTGGTAGTGGATACGCAGGTTCTTCCGTGGTGTTGACGTTTTTAACAATGGTTTGGGTTGTATGATTTTATTCGTTTTTGAGTGGGCATTGCCAATCCTTTTTGGCGCAGGCGAAGAGATTAGTGAAGCAAGTTGAGGGTTGTGTTCGGTTGATCCCGTGGGAGAAGTCGCAAGTTTCTGACTACTGAGTGTGTGCAAATGTGGCAACTTGAAATAGGCTGAAGTGGAGGACAACGGGAGTACGTGGGTAAGCGCACTCCTGCTTGCCATTTTGTTCTCGGATCGAGATGTGACGCGCGCTCCTGCGACAATGCGAGCCATACCATCACTGGCAACCCTGTTGAAGTCGCAAGAGACAATCGATCGATACTTCGCAGCTCAAGCTCTTGCGAGCTTGGTGTGCAATGGTAACCGCGGCACTTTGTTAGCTGTCGCCAATTCAGGGGCTGCAGGAGGTCTGATCCACATGTTGGGGATGTCCGCGTCAGACATAAGCGAGTTGGTGGCTTTGTCAGAGGAGTTTGCGCTACCTGGGCATCCCGATGAGGTTGCGCTAGAACGGTTATTCCGAGTTGACGACATTCGAGTGGGAGCCACTGCTCGAAAGGCCATTCCCATGCTGGTGGATCTGTTGAAGCCTCTTGCCGATCGTCCGGGTGCTCCCCCCTTGGCTCTGGGTCTGCTCAGCCAGCTGGCCGAAGACAACCATGTGAACAAGCTTGCGATGGCAGAAGCTGGCGCTTTGGATGGGTTAACCAAGTACTTGTCCATCGGGCCGAAGGATGCCATCGAGGAAGCTACAGCAGATCTGCTGAGAATCTTGTTCACCACTCCCGAACTGCGTCGACACGACTCTGCAGTGGGTGCTGTGGAGCAGTTGGTTGCCGTTCTACGATTTGGAACTCGGGGTTCTCGTCTGAGTGCGGCCAGGGCCTTGCAGGGGCTGTTTGCTGCCGAGCACATCAGGATGAGCTATGCAGCAGGACAAGCCATTGCCCCGTTGGTAGAAATGCTGAGCTCTGGAGTGGAGAAGGAGCAGCGCGTGGCAATCGGTGCACTGATCACGCTTTCGGAGGACAATCCTTCAAAGGTGTTGGCCATTGCTGACTCGGAGGCGAACGCCGTGGAGGGAGTGTGCAGGGTGCTGCTGTCGGACTGCTCGCTGGAACTGAAAGAGGAAACTGCGAACCTTTGCCGCACGCTGTTCAACAACCCTCGAGTTCGGTCGACTCCGGAGGCAACGTGTTGCATCTCTCCGTTGGTTGCACTGCTGGACGTGGATTCACCCTCCGCTCAGTACGCCGGCGCTTGTGCGCTAGACAATCTTCTTGACGACGAGCAGCAGGCTGAGGCCGTGGCTGCAAACGGAGCCGTGGTGCCTTTGGTGGACCTGGTGGTGGGGACCAACTTTGGTCTGCACGAGGCTGCAGTGAGTGGGCTCATTAAGTTGGCGAAGGACCGTCCTCTGTGCAAGTTGGACATGGTGAAAGGTGGCATCATCGACAACGTGCTGGACATACTTTTGGAAGCTCCAGATTCGCTGTGTGCTCTCTGTGCGGAGCTGCTGCGCATCCTGACGAACAACAGTAGCATTGCCAAGGGAGTAGCGGCAGCGAAGGTTGTGGAGCCGCTGTTCTACTGCCTGACGCGGCCGGATTTGAGCACTTCCGGGCAGCACAGTGCAATGCAAGTTCTGGTGAACATTCTGGAGAAACCGCAGCGGCTAGCGAATCTGACTTTGACACCCAATCAGGCCATCGAGCCTCTTGTACTGCTGCTGGATTCCCCATCTCAGCCTGTCCAGCAGCTGGCCGCAGAGCTTCTGTCCCACCTTTTGGCACAGGAGCAGTTCCAGCGCGACGTGTTTACGCAGCAAGCGGTGGTTCCACTGGTGAGACTGGTTGGGGTGGGCGTGCCCAGCCTGCAGAAAGAGGCGATAAGAGCGTTGGAGAGTGCGTCCAACAGCTGGCCGAACGCGATTGCGGATGCGGGAGGCATCATCGAGCTTTCTGCTCTGTTGCTGCAAACGGATCCACAGCTGCCCCATGCTCTGTGGGAGGCTGCAGCCCTGGTGCTGTCAAACGTGCTTCGGTTTAGTTCCCAATACTACTTTAAGGTGCCCCCAGCAGTCCTGGTGAAGCTGTTGCGGTCGAGCAACGAGGCGACAGTGGTGGTGGCGTTGAGCGCCCTGATTTTGCTGGAGAGAGAAGATTCTTCCAGCGCTGAAGGCATGACCGAGGCAGGAGCCGTGGAAGCGTTGTTGGAGCTGCTACGGTGTCACCAGTGTGAGGAAGCGGCAGCCCGTCTTCTGGAGGCGTTGTTCAACAACTTCAAGGTGCGGGACACGAAGGCGGCAAGGCTTGCGATTGCACCATTGTCGCAGTATTTACTGGACCCTCAAACGCGCACACAGCCGGCTCGGCTTTTGGCAGCTCTTGCTCTCGGGGATTTGTTTCAGCACGAAGGTCTGTCCCGCAGCAACGATGCAGTTTCGGCGTGCCGCGCACTGGTCAGCCTGCTGGAGGACCAGCCGACTGAGGAGATGAAGATGGTATCGGTGTGCGCATTACAGAACCTGGTGGTGAGCAGCCGTGCAAACAAGCGAGCTGTGGCAGAGGCCGGGGGTGTTCAGGTGGTGCAGGAGCTTTTAGCATCGAGTAACTCGGAGAGCGCAGGTCAAGCGGCCATACTGATCAGACAGTTATTTGCAAATCACACGATACAGGAATATGCTTCCAGTGAAATGATCCGGGCTCTAGCAGGTAAGTCGGCAACTCAACCGACGCCCCCAGGATCGTGGTAGTGGTTCAGCCGCTGATGCATGATTGTGTGTGCGGCGATCAGTGTGACATGGTGAAGCTTGGTGGTGACTTTGGGGTGTTTTGTGGAACAGCTGCTCTGGAGAAGGATCTATGGGCCACCGCCTCCGTGAATGAGGACGTTGCAAGGGCACTGACCGTGATGCTGGGCAACTTCCCCCGACTGCGGTCCACTGACGAGGCCACGCAGAGCATCGCACAGCTGGTGGGTGCTTTGAAGGCCGGGAACGAGGTCGCACAGGAAGCTGCGCTGGATGCGCTGTTTCTGCTCCAGGAGGATTGGCTAGATAGTCCCGCGGAAGTAGGGAAGGCGCAAGCCATGGCCGCAGCGGAGGCGATTCCCATTCTTCAGTATTTGGTGAGAGAGGGGCCGCCAAGGTTCGCGGAGAAGGCGGAAATCCTACTGCAATGTTTGCCTGGTAGCTTGGTGGTGACGGTGAAGCAAGGGCACAATCTGAAGCAATCCGTTGGGAGCACGAACGCCTTCTGCAAGTTGACACTTGGCAATGGCCCTCCGCGTCAGACAAAGGTGTGGACACCTCGAGGTTTCGGCCCGGATTTTGTTTGGGATCATGGACGTTTCAATGCGTGCTCGCATTTTGTCAAGTGGATGACGCATGCGGGTTATGCATCAAGTAATGTTCTACGGTAGTGAAGGATGCTCAAGTGGGGTTGAGGACGAGCGCCGGTGTGGTATTGGTGAATGTGTTCGTTGTGGTCGAGATATCGACAGTCGTAGCACAAGAAATCTGTGGCAGGGGTCGGGTTTGGTGCAGGAAATCAGCGTCCAGGCTTGACAAATCGTATGTTGTTTGGCACAGGTTGTGAGCCAAAGCGTGTCTCCACAATGGAAGCAGGGTTTCGCGTGGGCATTTGACAATCCACCCAAAGGTCAAAAGCTTCACATCGCTTGCAAAAACAAGGGCGCCTTCGGCAAGGTCAGTAACAGCAGTAGGTGGGATCGGATTTGATGAATGTAGCAACCTGTTAGTCTTGTCTTGCCACAAGGCGCTCGATTTTCAGTGATGCAGAACAGGACGGTCAGTAGTAACATCGCTTTGCAGGTGAGACTTGGTAGTGTAGGACAGGTGTGTGATCGATGCTGCATCAGCAGGGCCAGTGAGTGGTTTGTTCTGGCCAGTTGAAGGTGGAGAACTAACTGGATGTCCATGTGGCGTTTATGTTTGCAGGGTTCGTTAGGAAAGGTGACTATTCAGATAGACAGAGTGGTGATGCAGGGAACCATCAGCGGGCAATATACGCTGCAGCCTGAGACGAACCGGGATGGAACACCACGAACTCTAGAAGTGGAGTTCCAATGGTCCAACCGATGAGTGCCTTGGTATAGTGTATGATGATGAGTAGTAGTTTGTGTAGTGTAATTTTATAGGATATGGAAGGTTCCACAGATGGTACAGCAGAACAGATCCCGCATTATGGGCATTAACTGCCGGAAACCAGAGGACGTCATCACTGAAAAGCCTCTCAATTCTCATCGCTGTTCAATATTAATTTTAGGCTTCAATTTGTTTCAAGCCTTTGTATCGGGTATAAATCGTGCCGGATTGTGTATTGGAACTGATTTGCTTAATTCGTTATTGTGGAGGATTTTTTCGGAATCGGTGAGTGTCTGTTTGCATTTTTGAGCACCAGTTTTGTTGCTTCTTTCTGAGCGTAAACTGGTTATTATATGTTTTTGCTGTTGCGATTGTATTATGGTTTGGGTCGAACTTTTGTTGTTCTGTATGGGTTGAGGGCAGATATTGGATAAGGGGAAATGGAATTTATGCAAATGTGCATGATCTGGATATTTTTTGAAAGAACTTTGTGTTATTTTTATTTAAATCCTCACAAAAGTGATTTGGTATCTAATGCACGGCTTTACTTTACTGACTTATGCATGCACCTTTCATCTTGACCAGTTATTTCCAGTCTTGTGTTTGGTTTTATTCATGAATCTTGAGCTTGTTCGTTCACTTTTTGTAGTATCTTCAGGGTGCCATACTGGACACATGTCCATGAAAATAAAGAAATGTGAAACCAAAACTCAGAAAGTTGCAGTAAGAATATTAATATAAAATACCTTGTTTATAGTTTCATTTTGATAATTACTGTGATAAGCATTCCACTACTTAGAGTACAAATTGGTCAATCCCATTTGTGACAAAACAAATTTTCCTATTCTTATTGTATCACACACACATCAACTAGACATATGAATAATATATACCATGTAGGTACTCTTATACTACCATATGTACCAGAGATAGCAAAATTTAAGAAAACACCTCCTTAAACCAATTATCGCTTAGGTTGTTGAAATTTTTTGTGAAAAGGTGGATGAAGACTGCAATTTATGGATGACAATAAAAACAACAGGTTTTAGGATTGGGTTGGACCATGGTTATGTTTGATAGTTCGTATAAATTGTAGTTGGTCTTTTAGGCATTTTGGTTTGAATGAGTACAATTAGCATTGGACCATGGTTATGTTTGATAGTTTGTATAAATTGTAGTTGGTCTTTTAGGCATTTTGGTTTGAATGAGTACAATTAGCATTGGACCATGGTTATGTTTGATAGTTTGTATAAATTGTAGTTGGTCTTTTAGGCATTTTGGTTTGAATAAGTACAATTAGCATTGGACCATGGTTATGTTTGATAGTTTGTATAAATTGTAGTTGGTCTTTTAGGCATTTTGGTTTGAATGAGTACAATTAGCATTGGACCATGGTTATGTTTGATAGTTTGTATAAATTGTAGTTGGTCTTTTATTGTAGTTGGTCTTTTAGGCATTTTGGTTTGAATGAGTACAATTAGCATTGGACCATGGTTATGTTTGATAGTTTGTATAAATTGTAGTTGGTCTTTTAGGCATTTTGGTTTGAATAAGTACAATTAGCATTGGACCATGGTTATGTTTGATAGTTTGTATAAATTGTAGTTGGTCTTTTAGGCATTTTGGTTTGAATGAGTACAATTAGCATTGGACCATGGTTATGTTTGATAGTTTGTATAAATTGTAGTTGGTCTTTTAGGCATTTTGGTTTGAATAAGTACAATTAGCATTGGACCATGGTTATGTTTGATAGTTTGTATAAATTGTAGTTGGTCTTTTAGGCATTTTGGTTTGAATAAGTACAATTAGCATTGGACCATGGTTATGTTTGATAGTTTGTATAAATTGTAGTTGGTCTTTTAGGCATTTTGGTTTGAATAAGTACAATTAGCATTGGACCATGGTTATGTTTGATAGTTTGTATAAATTGTAGTTGGTCTTTTAGGCATTTTGGTTTGAATAAGTACAATTAGCATTGGACCATGGTTATGTTTGATAGTTTGTATAAATTGTAGTTGGTCTTTTAGGCATTTTGGTTTGAATAAGTACAATTAGCATTGGACCATGGTTATGTTTGATAGTTTGTATAAATTGTAGTTGGTCTTTTAGGCATTTTGGTTTGAATAAGTACAATTAGCATTGGACCATGGTTATGTTTGATAGTTTGTATAAATTGTAGTTGGTCTTTTAGGCATTTTGGTTTGAATAAGTACAATTAGCATTGGACCATGGTTATGTTTGATAGTTTGTATAAATTGTAGTTGGTCTTTTAGGCATTTTGGTTTGAATAAGTACAATTAGCATTGGACCATGGTTATGTTTGATAGTTTGTATAAATTGTAGTTGGTCTTTTAGGCATTTTGGTTTGAATGAGTACAATTAGCATTGGACCATGGTTATGTTTGATAGTTTGTATAAATTGTAGTTGGTCTTTTAGGCATTTTGGTTTGAATAAGTACAATTAGCATTGGACCATGGTTATGTTTGATAGTTTGTATAAATTGTAGTTGGTCTTTTAGGCATTGTGGTTTGAATGAGTACAATTAGCATTGGACCATGGTTATGTTTGATAGTTTGTATAAATTGTAGTTGGTCTTTTAGGCATTTTGGTTTGAATAAGTACAATTAGCATTGGTCCATGGTTATGTTTGATAGTTTGTATAAATTGTAGTTGGTCTTTTAGGCATTTTGGTTTGAATAAGTACAATTAGCATTGGACCATGGTTATGTCTGATAGTTTGTATAAATTGTAGTTGGTCTTTTAGGCATTTTGGTTTGAATGAGTACAATTAGCATTGGACCATGGTTATGTTTGATACGTTTGTATAAATTGTAGTTGGTCTTTTAGGCATTTTGGTTTGAATGAGTACAATTAGCATTGGACCATGGTTATGTTTGATAGTTTGTATAAATTGTAGTTGGTCTTTTAGGCATTTTGGTTTGAATAAGTACAATTAGCATTGGACCATGGTTATGTTTGATAGTTTGTATAAATTGTAGTTGGTCTTTTAGGCATTTTGGTTTGAATGAGTACAATTAGCATTGGACCATGGTTATGTTTGATAGTTTGTATAAATTGTAGTTGGTCTTTTAGGCATTTTGGTTTGAATAAGTACAATTAGCATTGGACCATGGTTATGTTTGATAGTTTGTATAAATTGTAGTTGGTCTTTTAGGCATTTTGGTTTGAATGAGTACAATTAGCATTGGACCATGGTTATGTTTGATAGTTTGTATAAATTGTAGTTGGTCTTTTAGGCATTTTGGTTTGAATGAGTACAATTAGCATTGGACCATGGTTATGTTTGATAGTTTGTATAAATTGTAGTTGGTCTTTTAGGCATTTTGGTTTGAATAAGTACAATTAGCATTGGACCATGGTTATGTTTGATAGTTTGTATAAATTGTAGTTGGTCTTTTAGGCATTTTGGTTTGAATAAGTACAATTAGCATTGGACCATGGTTATGTTTGATAGTTTGTATAAATTGTAGTTGGTCTTTTAGGCATTTTGGTTTGAATAAGTACAATTAGCATTGGACCATGGTTATGTTTGATAGTTTGTATAAATTGTAGTTGGTCTTTTAGGCATTTTGGTTTGAATAAGTACAATTAGCATTGGACCATGGTTATGTTTGATAGTTTGTATAAATTGTAGTTGGTCTTTTAGGCATTTTGGTTTGAATAAGTACAATTAGCATTGGACCATGGTTATGTTTGATAGTTTGTATAAATTGTAGTTGGTCTTTTAGGCATTTTGGTTTGAATAAGTACAATTAGCATTGGACCATGGTTATGTTTGATAGTTTGTATAAATTGTAGTTGGTCTTTTAGGCATTTTGGTTTGAATAAGTACAATTAGCATTGGACCATGGTTATGTTTGATAGTTTGTATAAATTGTAGTTGGTCTTTTAGGCATTTTGGTTTGAATAAGTACAATTAGCATTGGACCATGGTTATGTTTGATAGTTTGTATAAATTGTAGTTGGTCTTTTAGGCATTTTGGTTTGAATAAGTACAATTAGCATTGGACCATGGTTATGTTTGATAGTTTGTATAAATTGTAGTTGGTCTTTTAGGCATTTTGGTTTGAATAAGTACAATTAGCATTGGACCATGGTTATGTTTGATAGTTTGTATAAATTGTAGTTGGTCTTTTAGGCATTTTGGTTTGAATAAGTACAATTAGCATTGGACCATGGTTATGTTTGATAGTTTGTATAAATTGTAGTTGGTCTTTTAGGCATTTTGGTTTGAATAAGTACAATTAGCATTGGACCATGGTTATGTTTGATAGTTTGTATAAATTGTAGTTGGTCTTTTAGGCATTTTGGTTTGAATAAGTACAATTAGCATTGGACCATGGTTATGTTTGATAGTTTGTATAAATTGTAGTTGGTCTTTTAGGCATTTTGGTTTGAATAAGTACAATTAGCATTGGACCATGGTTATGTTTGATAGTTTGTATAAATTGTAGTTGGTCTTTTAGGCATTTTGGTTTGAATAAGTACAATTAGCATTGGACCATGGTTATGTTTGATAGTTTGTATAAATTGTAGTTGGTCTTTTAGGCATTTTGGTTTGAATAAGTACAATTAGCATTGGACCATGGTTATGTTTGATAGTTTGTATAAATTGTAGTTGGTCTTTTAGGCATTTTGGTTTGAATAAGTACAATTAGCATTGGACCATGGTTATGTTTGATAGTTTGTATAAATTGTAGTTGGTCTTTTAGGCATTTTGGTTTGAATAAGTACAATTAGCATTGGACCATGCTTATGTTTGATAGTTTGTATAAATTGTAGTTGGTCTTTTAGGCATTTTGGTTTGAATAAGTACAATTAGCATTGGACCATGGTTATGTTTGATAGTTTGTATAAATTGTAGTTGGTCTTTTAGGCATTTTGGTTTGAATAAGTACAATTAGCATTGGACCATGGTTATGTTTGATAGTTTGTATAAATTGTAGTTGGTCTTTTAGGCATTTTGGTTTGAATAAGTACAATTAGCATTGGACCATGGTTATGTTTGATAGTTTGTATAAATTGTAGTTGGTCTTTTAGGCATTTTGGTTTGAATAAGTACAATTAGCATTGGACCATGGTTATGTTTGATAGTTTGTATAAATTGTAGTTGGTCTTTTAGGCATTTTGGTTTGAATAAGTACAATTAGCATTGGACCATGGTTATGTTTGATAGTTTGTATAAATTGTAGTTGGTCTTTTAGGCATTTTGGTTTGAATAAGTACAATTAGCATTGGACCATGGTTATGTTTGATAGTT